GCAGTTTAAATCACATACAAATTCAAGCGTAACACAATGTCCCAGGCAAACGCAATAATCTAACAATAACTTAATATGTTAACCGTGCAATTGTGAATTCAACTTGTCATTAGCGCTTTTATACAAGGAATTTCGAGCAGTGAAAAGTACGTGCATTTTCATTATGTTGCGTAGGGCATCAATGATTGACCATATGCCATTGCAGAATAGAATACCCACCTCACATTCATTCATGAGATACAGAACCAACTAAATCCGGATCAGAATAGGTGGAATTTTCGTGTGATGTTGGATCAAACCATATGTTTATCGTCATTTGCCTGTACAAAAAACAACAACAAATATTAAGGATGTTTCAAATAGTTCTTGAATTATCGTGTTGCGAATATCTTCTTAAATGTATATTGAATTGTTTCTTAAACATGTATCAGTTGACATCACTTCAGCTCCATACTCAGGTTGTTCAGTGTCAATAGTTAAAATTGTGGAATCTTTCTCCCTCACTTTTAACACGAAATATGCATGCGGTATATCAATTATCTTTGAGGTGTGTGTGAACAAACCGCGCGCTTGGCGTGCAAGAAACATGTGGTAGCTGGTTCGAGTCCAGGTTCTTCCTGGTAACATCGGGTGACCTCAGACTAAACCATTGTGTACCGCTGTGTTACTGAGGTGACGGGCTGTGTTACTGAGGTGATGGGCTGTCGTGTCAGTGACGTCATGTACCGTCGTGTTAGTGAGGGCTTGTACCAGCGGGCTAGTAAGATAACTACCAGTGTATTGGTGAGGGCTTGTACCAGCGGCCTAGTAAGGTAAGTACCAGTGTGTTAGTGAGGGCTTGTACCAGCGGGCTAGTAAGGTAAGTACCAGTGTATAAGTGAGGGCTTGTACCAGCGGGCTAGTAAGGTAAGTACCAGTGTGTTACTGAGGGCTTGTACCAGCGGGCTAGTAAGGTAAGTACCAGTGTATAAGTGAGGGCTTGTACCAGCGGGCTAGTAAGGTAAGTACCAGTGTATTAGTGAGGGCTTGTACCAGCGGCCTAGTAAGGTAAGTACCAGTGTGTTAGTGAGGGCTTGTACCAGCGGGCGACTAAGGTAAGTACCAGTGTGTTAGTGAGGGCTTGTATCAGCGGGCTAGTAAGGTAAGTACCAGTGTGTTAGTGAGGGCTTGTATCAGCGAGCTAGTAAGGTAAGTACCAGTGTGTTAGTGAGGGCGTGTACCAGCGGGCGAGTAAGGTAAGTACCAGTGTATTAGTGAGGGCTTGTACCAGCGGCCTAGTATGGTAAGTACCAGTGTGTTAGTGAGGGCTTGTACCAGCGGGCGAGTAAGGTAAGTACCAGTGTGTTAGTGAGGGCTTGTACCAGCGGGCTAGTAAGGTAAGTACCAGTGTATTAGTGAGGGCTTGTACCAGCGGGCGAGTAAGGTAAGTACCAGTGTGTTAGTGAGGGCTTGTACCAGCGGGCGAGTAAGGTAAGTACCAGTGTGTTAGTGAGGGCTTGTACCAGCGGGCGAGTAAGGTAAGTACCAGTGTATTAGTGAGGGCTTGTACCAGCGGCCTAGTTAGGTAAGTACCAGTGTGTTAGTGAGGGCTTGTACCAGCGGGCGAGTAAGGTAAGTACCAGTGTGTTAGTGAGGGCTTGTATCAGCGGGCTAGTAAGGTAAGTACCAGTGTGTTAGTGAGGGCTTGTACCAGCGGGCGAGTAAGGTAAGTACCAGTGTGTTAGTGAGGGCTTGTATCAGCGGACTAGTAAGGTAAGTACCAGTGTGTTAGTGAGGGCTTGTACCAGCGGGCTAGTAAGGTAAGTACCAGTGTGTTAGTGAGGGCTTGTACCAGCGGGCGGGTAAGGTAAGTACCAGTGTGTTAGTGAGGGCTTGTATCAGCGGGCTAGTAAGGTAAGTACCAGTGTATTAGTGAGGGCTTGTACCAGCGGCCTAGTAAGGTAAGTACCAGTGTGTTAGTGAGGGCTTGTATCAGCGGGCGAGTAAGGTAAGTACCAGTGTATTAGTGAGGGCTTGTACCAGCGGCCTAGTAAGGTAAGTACCAGTGTGTTAGTGAGGGCTTGTACCAGCGGGCGAGTAAGGTAAGTACCAGTGTGTTAGTGAGGGCTTGTATCAGCGGGCTAGTAAGGTAAGTACCAGTGTGTTAGTGAGGGTTTGTATCAGCGAGCTAGTAAGGTAAGTACCAGTGTGTTAGTGAGGGCGTGTACCAGCAGGCGAGTAAGGTAAGTACCAGTGTATTAGTGAGGGCTTGTACCAGCGGCCTAGTATGGTAAGTACCAGTGTGTTAGTGAGGGCTTGTACCAGCGGGCGACTAAGGTAAGTACCAGTGTGTTAGTGAGGGCTTGTACCAGCGGGCTAGTAAGGTAAGTACCAGTGTATTAGTGAGGGCTTGTACCAGCGGGCGAGTAAGGTAAGTACCAGTGTGTTAGTGAGGGCTTGTACCAGCGGGCGAGTAAGGTAAGTACCAGTGTGTTAGTGAGGGCTTGTACCAGCGGGCGAGTAAGGTAAGTACCAGTGTATTAGTGAGGGCTTGTACCAGCGGCCTAGTTAGGTAAGTACCAGTGTGTTAGTGAGGGCTTGTTCCAGCGGGCGAGTAAGGTAAGTACCAGTGTGTTAGTGAGGGCTTGTATCAGCGGGCTAGTAAGGTAAGTACCAGTGTGTTAGTGAGGGCTTGTACCAGCGGGCGAGTAAGGTAAGTACCAGTGTGTTAGTGAGGGCTTGTATCAGCGGGCTAGTAAGGTAAGTACCAGTGTATTAGTGAGGGCTTGTACCAGCGGCCTAGTAAGGTAAGTACCAGTGTGTTAGTGAGGGCTTGTATCAGCGGGCTAGTAAGGTAAGTACCAGTGTATTAGTGAGGGCTTGTACCAGCGGCCTAGTAAGGTAAGTACCAGTGTGTTAGTGAGGGCTTGTATCAGCGGGCTAGTAAGGTAAGTACCAGTGTATTAGTGAGGGCTTGTACCAGCGGGCGAGTAAGGTAAGTACCAGTGTGTTAGTGAGGGCTTGTACCAGCGGGCGGGTAAGGTAAGTACCAGTGTGTTAGTGAGGGCTTGTATCAGCGGGCTAGTAAGGTAAGTACCAGTGTGTTAGTGAGGGCTTGTACCAGCGGGCAAGTAAGGTAAGTACCAGTGTGTTAGTGGGGGCTTGTACCAGCGGGCTACTAAGGTAAGTACCAGTGTGTTAGTGAGGGCTTGTACCAGCGGCCTAGTAAGGTAAGTACCAGTGTGTTAGTGAGGGCTTGTACCAGCGGGCTAGTAAGGTAAGTACCAGTGTATTAGTGAGGGCTTGTACCAGCGGGCGAATAAGGTAAGTACCAGTGTGTTAGTGAGGGCTTGTATCAGCGGCCTAGTAAGGTAAGTACCAGTGGGTTAGTGATTATTTGTACCAGCGGGCTAGTTAGGTAAGTACCAGTGTGTTAGTGAGGGCTTGTACCAGCGGGCTAGTAAGGTAAGTACCAGTGTATTAGTGAGGGCTTGTACCAGCGGGCTATTTAGGTAAGTACCAGTGTGTTAGTGAGGGCTTGTACCAGCGGCCTAGTAAGGTAAGTACCAGTGTGTTAGTGAGGGCTTGTACCAGCGGGATAGTTAGGTAAGTACCAGTCTGTACCAGCCCACAACAAATCAGTTGGTGTAGATCACACTTTTAGCGACTACTTAAAGTATTCATCAGACGTTCTTCTTGATAACTGACCATTGGGGTTATCTTGCCAAAAGAGACAACTATAGAAAGGAGAGAACATGGACCAGCATGTGAATCCAGGCATGTCAAGCTGTGGTAATGTTTCTCTGTTTGTCAGCACCATGAGCGTGATCATGGGTTTCACCAATCGTTATAAGCCAGTGCGATTTCACTTGACAAAAGAATTTCTTTGTGAATGTCAACAATTTCACGAATAGCGGAGATGTTTTTTTAGGTTCGGGGAGTTATGTCTTTTTATTCTAAATTTTACTTTTGAAAGGTTCCCTTACTCACTGATCAATTTGTACATATCCCTTATCGTAACTGATATGCTCATCTTAAATGATCAGCACAAAATATTTAGGAGTAAAAGTTGTACCCCACTGCTGAAACAATCCCGTCGTGTTACATGCACTCTGCACTTCAGAAACAACGTTCCCTCGATCGCCATCTACTCGCGACAGGTTATTGCGATTTTTCATCATGATCCTTGTTTTCAGGTGAACAACGGACTTGCCTTTGTATGCGTTTGAAACGAGTGCCTCCGGTGGGGCAGCATACCCTCAATTATGCGACCACATGTTAACATTATTCTTTGGTTGTAACACAGGTTTATGATGTAGTCGGAATCGCACAATGAACTCTGATTTAGCTGCAATTTTATTATGATCATTGAGGTTTTGTTGCTTTATTATTATTATGATTATGGAAAGGATTTTTCTGGCTTATATTTATTTTGAAGTGTAATTTACTCTTCCCGTTATAGATATATATTATCATTAATATTATTAAACGAATTGTATGAAATTTCTGATATCAATGTTTTTTAATAATATAAACGTGTTTATCCATAAACACCAAAACATATGGAAAAGGTGCCTGTGACCTGACTGTGTTGTTGTACCCCATCACAGCCCTGACGACATGGACCCGTGAAGATTCCGGGGTAGAATAGGTCTTCAGCAACCCATGCTTGCCGTAAAAGGTGACTATCCTTGTCGTAAAAGGCGACTAACGGGATCGGGTGGTCAGGCTCGCTGACTTGGTTGATGCATGTCATCGATCCAAATTGCGTGGATCGATGCTCATGATTTCAATCACTGGATTGTCTGGTCCAGACTCGATTATTTACAGACCGCCGTCATATAGCTGGAATATTGCTGAGGGCGGCGTTAAATGACAAACCAACCAACCAACCTGACGACATGAATCAGTTACCATAGTATCGGGTACTGGATCAACTGCCCAAGGTCCGACTGGAGATGTCTTTTGTGGTAAGTTGCAGCATGTATGACATTACGATATGAAAAAAAATCATGCGCAAAGAAGTATTAATCTTTATTATCAACGTGATGAAGATACAGGCGCATGCGTGCGTGCGTGCGTGCGTGCGTGCGTGCGTGCGTGCGTGTCTCCTCTCCATGATGTGGGCGGTCGCGTAGCCTAGTGTTAAAGGCTTTCGCTCGTCACGTCAAAGACCCGGGTTCGATTCTCGACATGGGTACAATGTGTGAAGCCCATTTCTGGTGTACCCCGCCATGATATTGCTTGAATATTGCTGTAAGCGGCATAAAACCACACTCACTCGCTTACTCTTTCCAAAGTGTAACATATTTGTCATTTCCAGCATTTTGGTTGGTTTCTTGTCGTGCGTGCGTGGATGTGTGCTTGCAGTAGTCCGGACTTATGCCGAATTTGATATTGGTAACCGACTGAGAAGCCATGCCACAGTTTATTTTTGTTCGACAAAATATGGTTAGGGTTCGACAGATATGGTTAGGGTACGACACAGTGTAAGGTTCAATTGGTATCGAAGGATATACACCTTAGGGAGTTGCAAAGTCACGAGAATACTGTGTCGGTAACACTTTCTGCCAGAGTTGCTTCCCGGACATCTCTATTCCTCCGCTTGTCCACTTATTCAGCTTGCAGATGTCACACGTGTTGTTCTCAAAGATGAAGTAGATACATGACGATCTTTCTCTGCATGCAACAGCGCACTCGAAGCCTGATTTAGCAGGAAAAGTCTCCGTGATATGTAGACGGATCGATTTTGGAGAGTATCTGAACATGCTATATATCTTTTCCGCTGAAACGGAATAGCATTGTATATGATCAATAGTGTGAATGTATTGAAGACACGTTTAACTAAGTTCTTAAAAGGAGGCATTGTTACCGTCAACGACAAGATAGATTGGTGAGGCGTCTTTTATCGCGTCAAAGAACACATGGGCCTTTATTTCAATGCTTCCCTGTTAGTAAGGAAAAATATTGTCAACCAACGTCTAACGTCTACCAAAGTGTCAGTGAGATCATGTAAAATCGGGGGACCACAGACTAAACCATTGTGTACCGCTGTGTTACTGGGGTGACGGGCTGTGTTACTGAGGTGATGGGCTGTCGTGTCAGTGACGTCATGTACCATCGTGTTAGTGAGGGCTTGTACCAGCGGGATACTAAGGTAAGCACCAGTGTGTTAGTGAGGGCTTGTATCAGCGGGCTAGTTAGGTTAGTACCAGTGTGTTAGTGAGGCTTGTACCAGTGGGTTAGTAGGGTAAGTACCAGTGTGTTAGTGAGGGCTTGTACCAGCTGGATACTAAGGTAAGTACCAGTGTGTTTGTGAGGACTTGTACCAGCGGGCTAGTAAGGTAAGTACCAGTGGGTTAGTGAGGGCTTGTACCAACGGGCTAGTAGGGTAAGTACCAGTGTGTTAGTGAGGGCTTGTACCAGCGGGATACTAAGGTAAGCACCAGTGTGTTAGTGAGGGCTTGTACCAGCGGGCTAGTTAGGTTAGTACCAGTGTGTTAGTGAGGCTTGTACCAGTGGGCTAGTAGGGTAAGTACCAGTGTGTTAGTGAGGGCTTGTACCAGCTGGATACTAAGGTAAGTACCAGTGTGTTTGTGAGGACTTGTACCAGCGGGCTAGTAAGGTAAGTACCAGTGGGTTAGTGAGGGCTTGTACCAACGGGCTAGTAGGGTAAGTACCAGTGTGTTAGTGAGGGCTTGTACCAGCGGGATACTAAGGTAAGTACCAGTGTGTTTGTGAGGGCTTGTACCAGCGGGCTAGTTAGGTACGTACCATCGTGCTAGTGAGGGCTTGTACCAGCGGGCTACTTAAGTAAGTACCAGTATGTTAGTGAGGCTTGTACCAGTGGGCTAGTAAGGTAAGTACCAGTGTGTTAGTGAGGGCTTGTACCAGCGGGCTATTTAGGTAAGTACCAGTGTATTAGTGAGGGCTTGTACCAGCGGACTAGTTAGGAAAGTACCAGTGTGTTAGTGAGGCTTGTACCAGTGGGCTAGTAAGGTTAATACCATCGTGTCTGTGAGGGCTTGTACCAGCGGGCTAGTAAGGTAAGTACCAGTGTATTAGTGAGGGCTTGTACCAGCGGGCTAGTAAGGAAAGTACCAGTGGGTTAGTGAGGGTTTGTACCAGCGGGCTAGTTAGGTAAGTACCAGTGTGTTAGTGAGGGCTTGTACCAGCGGGCTAGTTAGGTAAGTACCAGTGGGTTAGTGAGGGTTTGTACAAGCGGGCTAGTTAGGTAAGTACCAGTGTGTTAATGAGGGCTTGTACCAGCGGGCTGGTTAGGTAAGTACCAGTGTGTTAGTGAGGGCTTGTACCAGCGGGCTAGTTAGGTAAGTACCAATGTGTTAGTTAGGGCTTGTACCAGCGGGATAGTTAGGTAAGTACCAGTCTGTTCCAGCCCACAACAAATCAGTTGGTGTAGATCACACTTTGAGCAACTACTTAAAGTATCAGACGTTCTTCTTGATAACTGCCCATTGGGGTTATCTTGCCAAAAGAGACAACTATAGAAAGGAGAGAACATGGACCAGCATGTCAATCCAGGCATGTCAAAATGTGTTGCTGGGGATATACTTTTTGTTACCAATGAATCTAAAATTAAAAAAAATTAAAAGTAATGAACAACTTACGGACACAGTGTGGTGCATGAGCATTGTATTTGAGAGTCAACGTTCCATAGATACTACAGGCCACCCATGAGGAGGGACCCATGTTCATATAGCCTGGCTCACACTTGAAGGACATCGAGTCCATCCAGTGGGGTGTTGTCTGAAGTGAGGCCACTGCGTGAGGGAAGAGGATATTCGGATCGCCACAGGTTATATCTGAAAATGTTATCGGAATTGGGCTTATTAAATGTCATTGCTTTATGGTTGTAAAATTTATTTTTACATGGTTGTTAGAGTGGATGTGAGAATGGTCTATGGATGTGAAAGTGAGTATGGTGTGGGTGGTAGTGTCAGTGTGAATGTGGGTGGTAGTGATGTTTTTTTTGTATATTTCGCTTTCTGCTTTAGGACCTACATTTCTTCCGTCAAATCATATTTTGGGACTTTCACACATTATATTCTCGACCATATCTAGAACTACAATTTCTTAAAATATTTTTTTTATTTGAACAATTAATGATTTCCAAAAGGTCCTGATACAAACACCCTCAATCAACGAGGACAATTTTTAGGCAAATTTTCAGGTTATACAATTTCAGTAGAATTATGTATATCGTTATTATCACCAATGAATATTAATATGTCACATTTAACGCCCGCTCGTTGTGGACTAAAATAATTAATAAAAGTAAAAACTAACACCCTTTATTTAGTCTGTCTCTTTCATGGGGGAAATTGAAGGCTACTCACTGGCCCTAAGGGAGCAGGTGTAAGGGCAGACATTGTCCCGGATGTCAGCTTCCTTTTCACATCGTCCGTGCCTGGCATAGATGCCACACTGACAGTCAGACTCTCCAGATTCTCCTTCAACAAGCACATGCTGGCAGATCAATAGTTGTATGTGGCGATTTTCATTGTATCATGTTATCCCCGTGTTACTTTTGATATTATGATATCTTGTAGTTTACGGAATGAATTTCATAACAGAACCATCACAAACACATACTAAGGCAAGTCAATTGTTAACCTGAACAAAAAAAACAAAAAGTCCAAAAAGTCGACACGAAAGGATGGAGCTGCTTGACATAAAGGAAAAGTAGACTGTTGGTTGAAATAAAGACCTGTGGAGAGGTTTTTTTGTTACACGGTATCAACCTGAACAACAAAAACACGGGAACAAGTCCAATAGGGAATATCGTTCACTGATGCGTCCAATGTGGACATGCCCTCCACATGTCCAAAATAAAACCTTTTGAAAGCCTTAATGAACGTTGTAACCTTGATCACACAACTTTCGAACAAGCGCCTTCTTACTCTCTTTGTACGTACTTTCGTTCGGTTGTACTTTAAAAGCTGTGAAATGGCGACACGAAAGGATGGAGCTGCTTGACATAAAGGGAAAGTAGACTGTTGGTGGAAATAAAGACCTGTGGAGAGTTTTTTTTGTCACACGGCATCCCAATGCATTGGTCTAACTATAAAACAATTCCTTCGTTATGATCTTGCTAATCGGAGCAGAGGTCGACTTCAGACGACGTTTGCTTTCATGTTTGACACATTTTCCTCTTAACCGCTGAAGATAGAGATTTGATTATGAGAAAATAAATTTATGGAAAGGAAATCCTACTTTCCTAATATAAGTATTTATATTATTGGTGACGTCCGACCTGTCATACTTGTCTCGGAGATAACTAGAAGATAACTGAGAGGCACTTTTGTTACTTACGGTGACAGAGCGCTGGTGTATCACATGACTGTCCACATTTCTCCCAGGACGTTACGGGCCAGAACAAACATTGTTCGTCCATCCCTGATGTACACGACTTGTCACTGTTTAGACACGAAACTGAAAACAAAGAGATTACTTCAACGTGCTTGCATTATTATCGAAGCTTTATTTTGTGTTGGATTCTCCTGTTCATAATCTGGAAACCTCTATGACGTTCAATGATCTTTTTTCGATTCCCCTTTCCTTTTGCTTTCGATAATTGAGATAAAAAGAGATATGAACACACATTTAACTGTACGTCTAAACTAAAAAATCGCCAGCTTAAAAACAATTGTGGAAAATCTACTTGATCTAGATATGTATAGTTTCTATTTTACGCTGAAAACCGCGAAGGCAATCCGGTTTGAAGTCGTTTGTTAGTTTAACGCCGCACTCAGCAATGTCCAGCTATATGACGGCGGTCTGGAAAAAAATCGAGTCTGGACCAGACAATCCAGTGATAATTATCATGAGCATCGATCCACACAATTGGGATCGATGACATGCATCAACCAAGTCAGCGAGCCTGACCACCCGATCCCGTTAGTCGCCTCCTACGGCAAGCATGGGTTGCTGAAGACCTATTCTACTCCGGGCCCCGGGATCATGAAACTAACTTAAGACCATATTTTGTCTTAACTCTAAGATTTAGACTTAAGACCAAATTTTGTCTTAAATTCGAGATCACGAAGCTCAATCGGCGAGAATATCTTAAGTCTAAGACAATATTTGATCTTAAGTCCTGAGATTGCCCCTGAGTAGACTTAAGACAAAATTTGTAGCAAGAAAGATGGCAGAAGTTGTTCGCCTCATGCGTCGCCTAAGGGCTAAAAAGAACAAAATAGCAATTCATTGGACATTTCGAGACCGATTCAACCCTCTTTATCTGTACAACGACGAAGAGGTCTTTGAGATATATAGATTTCGTCGTTCTACCATTTTTGTCATCGTTGGTCTAACAGGTGATGAACTGGCATAGATTCTACACCACTCAGCGTTCCCACAGTCTCCCACCTATCATTCATGTTTTGATATTCCTTCAGTTTGTTGCCACTGGGGCTTTTCACCTTTAGTTGCTCAGTCGTTTTGTGTCAGCAATATTGGATAGTGTTTACAAAATCACGTTATACGTACACCAGTAATGAGACGCAAATACCATCACGTATATTTCAAAATCAGCTGCGATACCTACATCCTTGCATTCCTCATACATTTTAAAATCAAATGCCAAATGGTCATTGTCACTAATACAAAATTGTATAGATGTAATGAAGCAAAATAAATGAGGTGTGAAAACGAACGCTGAAAAAAGTGCACTTGTTGGAAATGTAAACAAAGCCTTTCGTCTATTCGTTGAGTACATTGGCTCAGCATTTTCAGAATATACACGGGAAGAGAATCGTAGGGAGAATTAGGGAATTAAAAATATATACATTGCAATGATTTGATATTTTCAACAGAACTTGTCGAAGTTCCTGTCCTGTGTGACGCCATGACTGACGCAAAATCACGCCAAACGACAACGGTATTTATCGGAATTTCTGTCTATTTCCGTTGGTTTCAATGAAACATAAAACAACAAACAACAGTACACAGATTGTCAGAATGGGTCTGATTACTTACATGTCACATTTATGTATATACAAACCCTGAATCAACGAAAGTCCCCTTGTAAATTCCCGCGTACTATTGACAGTCAACACGCCATTTTGTAAAGTCAGTCACCAGTAGTGATGTCATACGTCAACATTGTTGTACATATTAGGTAATTTCTTTGAGGTGAAGGTCCTTGAATGAAAGTACACACGATCATTGTATCCTGCTATTTACAGTTTCAAATTATGATGTAGATCGTGCATGTCTTGTGTACATCTTTTCACACATTTAATTTCACTTTGGATATTAATCAATGTTCAATATGATATCATACGTAGATATAGGCCACAACATGTTTGAAACTTTAAAAAAATCTCCTGTTTGTTTGAACAATGTTTACATATGAAATTGATAAGTTTATAGTGTCATATACGATATTTCTTTATTTTGAACAAGTGATACTAGATGAAATGTAATTGCAACTACAACATGTATGTATTTCTAGGGAGTGTAATTGTCAATATTATAAGTTCCTGTAAACTGTGTCCACGAATAGCCGTTTCATTTTATTTTATAACTTAACTGAAGATATAACTTAAAGAAAATTGATATTATATTTCGTTAAAATATATGCACACATTTCTAGAAGAATTGTCTTTGTCTTGGATTTTTTTTATGCCGTGATATCTAACGATTCGCCAGGTGCGCGTTATTCACAAACGATTTATGAATTATTCCTCTCGTTTTGCATTGTATAATCAAATATTGTGACCACAGGATATTAAACTGTTTACTATATTTCTCCAAGAATTGTAAAAAGTTTAAAAATATAACCCGTGCCATGTACCCCGTTGGATGACGATTATCCTTATACGATTATCCTGGTAATTCTATACCAAGACAACTTTCTTCGCATCTTTTATTCGATAATTTTGAGACAAGATGATGAGAAATAATTACATAATAATGAACAAATACATGTCCAATACTGAATAATAATTTTGTTTGGTTTGAAATAATCTTTTGAGTACTTGATTACGTAAAATTGATGCCAAACAGGTGCGTGTCTTGTCCAATTAAGATACACTGTACATTATCGAATATTTATGTATTCGAGACATTATTTACATGGTAAACGCAGTCTTTTTAATTTATGTTGTGTCGAAAAAGAGTCAAATTCCGTTTTACAATTTTTCCATACCATGAACGAAAATTAGGGGAGATATATATCAATCAAAATACCAGTGTCGTCTTTCTCCGACGTTATCAAAGACATACAAGCAGCCATGACGTCAAATAGAATTGTGTCATTTTCTTAGTAATTAATTACATTTGATGATACTGCTAAAAACTCACGGAAATGAAAAAAACCCTGTTTTGCTGGATTTAATAATCGACACAAAGCATTACGTAGATGTAAATACGAAATAACAAAAAACTGGAAAAGTACTACTCTGGATTTGCTAGTTTTATCTCAGTGCTCAATACAAAATGTACCTTACAGGAGGTAATTTGTAGGCACTTTCAACATTCAAAAATAAAACTAAGTCAAAATTGACATGGCAGAAACAGGCTATAGGCATTATGCAAATTAGCCTGGAAAAAGGTTATCAAAACAACAATGAAAATAACAGCTATGTTTATGTACATAATAATAATGACATGTAAGTTGTTGTTTGAGAAGGGAATATGTTACTTTTACGTTCTGATATTTTGACGATGATTCACTACCCAACAATGCCACTGACAAATCACTAACCACTGACAAATCACATGCACATCGGTTTCAAGCACCTGTTTTCACCTGTCGTCAAGGTGTCGTAGGTCATGGACATTCACCTTGATCTACTAACACACCTGGTTATGCTCAGTTTCACAATAGTCTGTTTTGTTCATATTTTTACACACTTTTACGTGTGAAAAGACATAAAAACCTTTGATACGCTGTATTTGTGCCAAGGCCCAATTAGTACTAATTGAGTTGTTTGAATATATATATATATTTTGTATATTATCTGCATTTATTTAAAATCTGACATCGAAAAAAGTTATATAGGTGCAACATTAGTCAAATTACACTTGCACAATCAGGAGAATGTTGGAATCTAAGGACTAAGTTATAGGTTAGATAGGGCCATCCATTTCTCCCTTACCTCTTTTAATGAAGTACGATTTCATCATTTCTTATGGGGTTTTTTATAACTAAACGTTTACAGTTTCTATATCGATATTTGTGTTGGAATAGTGTTGGAATAGTTTGGTTCCTCGTGAACAAAACACCACGAAAATACACTGACCTTACCCACAGCTAATTCTCACCAAGTGACCTAATTACAATAAACTAGTTCTCAGCATGGCTGAGTTATGCCTCCTTTCCTTTGAACGTGTGTAACCTTTCTGTCGCCTTTTGACGTTATAGAGGTAAATCAGTTTTCGTCATTTACGGCAGGCTATTTTTTCCATTGAATTTATGTCGTTAAACATACTCATATAACTCCATTTGATAACTATTTATGTCGTTCAAATATTAGGCAGTATTTTGTTCGCTCACAGTTTCGGTAAAGCTGCTAAATGAAAATAATGTCCCACAGTACTTTTATCGGTGTACGCTAAAAAGCGGAGAAATTTCCTGTTTTTCGACGCAGAATAAATTCTCGGACAAAACTTAGCAGCGTCTTTTTTTCAAACTGGTTTAATTTTTACAGATAAATTTACACCATCAGATAGGAAATGTAATATTCTACATATCTGCGTTGTTTTACAGCCGGAGGTAGATCCAGCGCCGAGTGAGCGCAATTCTCGCACAACCTTCACTTTTCCGATCTTATGAAAATGTGCGTCAGAAAAATAACCTCGGCATCCAATGATTACCGTAGTGCGATATTACGTGCGCGTGTCCCTATGACGACGGTCTTAGACTTAGACTTAGCTCAGATTTTGCTGAGACCGTTTCAAGATCCAGTCTTAGACCGAATCTTAGCTAAGCAAAATCTTAAAAACTTAAGACAAAATTCGTGCTTAGCAAAATTTGAGCTAAGACCACTTTCATGATCCCGGGGCCGGATCTTCATGGGTTCAGTTTTATGAACTCGAGTGTGGATTTGTAAATGGAGCCGACACTCAAACTGCCATGTTTATTATTTACCACAATTTGATAACAAAAGAGACTGAGATGCGAAGCGTTTGTTTCTTCCCATATTTGCAGGGCAGCTCCAGATGATAATTCGTATATGTTAAGGCTGTGTGCATCACGTACAATTAACTGGAATGTGAATATACATTTCGCTGTAATGATGTTGAATTGCGGATATACAGGGATCGGCAAAATGTATGTTGTCATGCTGGCGGGTATATTTTTTCAGTTGTACACCGCTGTAGCTGGCTTCATGGAAATTTATCAAAACGTCATTTATATGAATGTTAAGCTAAGATGTAAAAACAAAGCACACCATGCTTGTATATTTTACAACGAATAATGTCTACATCTGCCTACCTGTACAGTTTGGTAATGTAACTTCATCCCGCGTGCCGTCCGGTTTACATTCTGAGTCCCCCCAGGTGTCTTGTCCATTGCATCCTTGGCAGGAGAAATATAGTGACGTGTTATACTCCAAACTCCCTTTTATCTCGTATCCAGCTGGCACATCCACTGGACACTCCAACGTTGTCATATTAACTATAACCAAAATAAAAAAGGGCTCTAAATACTACGTGTAACTGTCAAATTTGAAAATATTGTGTATACATTTAGTTAAGTAATACATGCAATTGCAACTGATTAACGTACAGCAATAAGTCCCGAAATGTTTATCGAAGAGACATACCAGAGGACGTTAAATCGTTACCCTGCATGTATGTTGGTGTAATGTTCGCTGTCACGGAAGAGATCTCGCGCAAACGTTTAGAGAGTGAGTGAGTATGGTTTTAAGCCGCTTTTAGCAATATTCCAGCAATATCACGGCGGGGGACACCAGAAATGAACTTCCCACATTGTACCCATGTCGGGAATGAAACACGGGTTTTTGGCGTGACGAGCGAACGCTTTAACCACCAGGCTACCTGACCGCCCTTAACGTTTAGAAAACGCTTGTGGGTAACGAAGTCTAATATTCCGATCCATAGTAAATCATTTAAAACGGTTTGTGGAAGACTATTGGAGGACATGGCAAAGACTGGAGTAAACATTTCCCTATTTAAGTTATTTTGGGGAGAGGCAATATCAACTCACTCATACTAAAATCATCCAGGGGTACCTGATACTCACATGAACAAAAACATCAACGCTAGAGAATAACCAGTCTTTGATATCCAACGATACAGATTCCATTGTGAATAAAAGGTAAAATGGCAGTGATAATAATATGAATGCATCTCTGAAAATCGGTGATGACAGCAGGTGTTCACGAAAAGGGTAGGGTGTCCTGCCCTACTGGCAGCGTACACAGTATTTAGAAAGCGTTGCTTGAATACAATGCATATCAAATGATTCTATAATCAATGTGACAATGCGTAAATAAATGAACTTTACCTGTGTTGTTCTGTACATCAGCTTCACATGAGATACATTGTAGCAGTAATATTGAGAAAACTTCATACACAACCGACACAGAAGCCATCATGCAGACAGTGCGACAACTGTGTCGAATACACACAACCGAGTTCACAAATGTGAGAATAATGCCATGGATGATAGCTTTTCAGAGGTGACACAAACATCCCTTAGGTTTCACTGAGTATTGATTTAAGGAAATGTATTCTCTGCAACAGCAAAAGCAACCTTTCACAACACATTTGATTGTTAAAAAATCGTTCGCTCGTGGCATTGTAGATGTGACACGAAAGATTTCTGGAAAATCATTGGTAGATTAAGTGCAGTAATGACTTTGAGAATTTATACGGTTACGACCCACACCCTGATAGAAATGAACACCTGGAAAGTATAGTGCGAGAATTATTAAATTTTGTTATAACAAAGGATGATAACACAAACTGTGATCCCTTGTGTGATCCCTTGAACGTCCCTATTTCATTGGTGGAAGTAGAGAAAGCAATAGAGCGCGCTAAATCCAGAAAGGCGGCGGGTATTGATAATCTTCCTGCTGAGTGTCTGAAAAATCCTGTCTGCGTTGACATATTGTTTAAAATGATGACTCATTGTTTTAATAATGGTGTAGTACCTGATGCATGGCAACAGAGTATCATTAATCCTATTGCTTTATCTGACACCGATGTTCACAATCCTGTCATACAGGGGTATCTCTCTTATTTTTGTACCCTGTAAAATTTATTGTGACATTTTAAATGTGAGATTAAGTGAGTGGTGTGAAAGAAATAGCATTTAAGCTGAGGAGCAAAATGTCTTCAGAAAAAAGGAGCTACTTGGATCACTTCTACAGCTTTTGTACCATAATCAAAAATAGAAAACAATCAAAATTATCAACATTTTGCTGTTTTATTGACATGAAAAAAGCGTTCGATAATGTAAAGAGAGACATGCATCAACCAAGTCAGCGAGCTTGACCACCCGATCCCGTTAGTTGGCTTTTACGACAAGCATAGTCGCCTTTTACGACAAGCATGGATTGCTGAAGACCTATTCTACCCTGGATCTTCACGGGTCGATATAAATTTGGGTAGTGGTGAGGGTAGAGGAGGGTCCAGGTCTGCAACTTTAACCATTTGACAAAGTAAACTTTCCAGGCGTTTGCATCTCATGGCAATGAACTCTTGTCATTATGGGGCTTCGGGTGTCCCTGTCTAAGGTGCCGTATTTCGTTGTGCAGAGCTGCATCCGATAGGCGTGACTGAAATATATGACCATCGGTTCGAATCCAGGTTTGCCCTGACCATGTTTCCCAGTTTGTCAGCATCGTGTTCACCGAGGTGTATAAATTAGTGATATTTCGCTTTGCAAAAATATCTTTGTTGATGTATGTAATCATTTTTACGAATACGCTTTTATATGTGTGGAGTCGCGATTGTTTTGAGGGCAGGCGAGTTACCTCTTTATTAAAAATGTAAGGAATTAACCTATTTATTCTAAAGTTTGCTTTTAAAAGGCTCCCTCAGCCACTGATCAATTTGTAAATATCATTATCGTAATTGATACATGCATCTTAAATAGTCAGCACAATATTTTTGGGTTCAAACGTTGAACATTTATCTGTCGCAAATGGATCTCGATCAAGGGACAACAATTTAATTGTACAGTATGTTCCCGTGGTTTTTTTCAGGTGTAGAGTTGACTTGATTTTGCATGTCTTTGTGACAGGTGCCTTCGGAAAGGCAGGATACGCTCATCTTGCGCAAACATGTGGTATAAAGTTTTTGATTGACACAAAAGTCTTCAAAATACAAACAACACATATCTCTTATTCTTGTTTTGGGTTGGATCGTTTCAGTGCCCCTCATGACGATTCTATCGTATTTGTTTGGACGCTCGTAACTGGGTCCTTGAAATTGGGAGAATTGTTGACACTCAAATGCTCAAAATATTCGTCTTTTAGACAAATTTTAGCCCCTCAACAGTCCTAGTCTAATATGTTTTTTGATGGCGGAAATTAGTGTGTCAGGACTAGGTTAATCATCTATCTCCACAATCTTCCCTTCACCTCCGATCACTTTACTGTCCTCATTTAATTGGCTCCCTGTCCCATTGGCTTCCACCTATGTGTTCTCTGTCCATCATGTTGTTACAGTATTATCCTTCTGTTGCCACTACTTATTCATGTTATCCCACTCATTTATGCAATTGTTGTTACTGTTAGTCCTCTACTGTGAATCATCCACTATATATTCTGTATAATGATCCCACACTTGGCTTGGGACTCAACCTGAAGTAACCTTCCAAGCTCTCTACAATGAAAGACATAAGCAAAGCTCTGCCCAGGGAGTTAGTCTCCATCCTGGAACCGCTCTTAGTGTACCGGGATGGCGACTTCTCTCTGAAGACGTCTTACAGCTCTGAGACCTCGATCCTCTCCATCTCCATTGACTTAGGGCAGGGTAAGAGGCTCCAGGCAAGTCCAAGCCTCAGGAGAAACCAAACCTGGCCCGACCCCTTCTGCACCACACTTGGCGCAGAAAGTCAGACCACCCAGGAGGAAGAAGTCCCCATCAGTCTCCATCATGGAGATTGAGGACACCCTTCACGGGAGAAAGATTAGGAAGAGGAGAGAGATCCCCACTACCGAAGCTGTCTCCTGGACAACCCCTACTCCAGATCTACGAAATGCTAGACCGCCGAATCGGTACCTCTCACTCTCAACGATAGCTATGCGCAGACAACACCAACCAAGGAGCACAGCTCTGCAGCAGCGCTAGAGCTGAAGTCTCGTCAGAAAGTCACCAGGAGGATCCTGGACCACCACAAGGATCTCCCCATCCCCTGTAGTCACCAAGTGTAGGACGGCCGCATGTACATCAGTGCACGTCCCCGGTTGACCATGGTTATGGTGCAGTACTTGGGGGAGGAGAATTTTGAGCACGAGATCAGCTCATTCCAGGAATTCATGGGCTTCCTCTCCAGCTGCGACATGGCTTCTTCACCAGGTTTCATCACGATCGCCGCCGCCCAGCTCGCCATGAAAAAGCACCAGGACCTACCAGACAGGGAGGAGCGCATCGTCAGGAGACTCCTGACGGGCAAGCTCGCCTAGTCAACCCAGGACCCCTCGTGCCACACATGCTGCGCCTTCTATCGCTTGACCCCACCCCCACCAACCCAAGCCCTACTTTTCCCATGTTATTAAATTATTTCTTACATCCAAGTCCCTCCCAGCTAAACCCCTCCCCCTAGCTTTTTTAGATTAAGAACTGTAAACGTTTATATTTTTTGGGATTACATTTTTTTATTTATTCTTTACGTTTTTTCCCCAATAGTCTAAGTGCAACCAAGTGTGTGAAATACGCGGGTTGTATCATTTTACATCTCCACATGCGGAAATCATACGTTAAATCTCCAACGTAGTTAGTTAGTCCTTATTCAGTCAACTTGACAACGGTATAAGGATCTATACCGAAACATCGCCTTTACAGTATTAAAGACGTTGTTATCCACAAATTGTGCCTACTTTGTCATCCGTCAACTTCTAAGTAATGCCTATCAAACAATTTTTGTAATTCACGTTTTGAAAAGTCCTGGGGTACACCCAAAATAGCTTAGTAGGGTTATGCTTGCAAGGGTTAGTTTGCAGCCTGTAAACCAGGAATTGTATTGGTCCATAGGAGAGGCTTAGAAGGGACAAAACTCATAATCACCACTGGTGGCGCTACGGTCGAGCCCAGGAATTCCAGCCTAGGTCGGGAAGGGTGGAAACTGGAATTTCATAGTCAGTTAACTCTCGTGCCTCTGGAAGATGCGGTATTACTGGCTAACGACACTACTGTTGTCAATACTGGTGTACAATGACTGAATATGTCTCTTGGTACTATCCACAAGTATTCTGGACTACCTTGAAAATCAAAGCAGACGATAGAACGTGACCGTTCACGGTGTACCCAAATCTTGGCCAAATGAAACCTGGGATGATTGTGAATCGGTGGTAAGAAAAGTCCTTAAAGATCGTCTGAAACTGGATGACTCTAGGAGAGTGATCAATCGAGCACAAAGGATCATGGGAGGTAAGGCAACAATAGCTTGAAGCCCCGATGATCACCAGAGACGAGAAATAATTACATCAGCCAAGAAATTAAAGGGTACATCGATGTGGATAAGCGAAGACTTCTTGAGGACAGTGAGAGAGGAGAGGAGACATCTGAAATCGATGATGAATTGAGGCCAGGAGAAATGACCAACGATTTTATCAAAGATTTGACAAGTTGTATATTGACAGACGTGTGTACACCTATGATCTTGACAAGGGCAAGGTTGTTGTTTTGACAACGGGGCAGGAACTTCACTGCAGACTCACAAACCGATATCAATCTCAACGCCAGTCAATACAGATAGGAGTCCGGCCTGGCCTTGTGTAACAATGAAATTGACAATGCCAAGGAACTATCTAGCATGTGTTGGAACGTGAACGGTTTGAAAAATAAGCTAAATAATGACAGCTTCAAGTATTTTTGCACTGATTACAGTATCTTTGGTCTTGTAGAGATATGGAACAACTGCACCAAGGAAGCATAGACCATGTGCCCCGAGTACAGTGTCTACACGAACTACAGAGAGTATAACTACCGAGGGCCCGTGTCTGTCACTATTACTGTGTTATTACTGACTACAGAGACATGATATTTCTGTTATTTGATAAGAGTATATGTAATCTCACACGCAATTTACTTATTGGTATTGTATATATCCATCCTGTAAATACTTCAGTAATGACAGACAATAGAATCCATAAGGGTATAGAGTACTGAGATAAAAACTTGCCTGCTGTGTTATTTGAACATCCAGATTACAAAATTATTCGCTGTGCAGAATTGCGTCCCTTGGGCACGCCTGAAACCTATGATTGTAGGTTCGAATCCCGGGTCGCCCCGATTATGTTTCTAGGTTTGTCAGCACCATACCCGTGCTCGTGGGTTTCACAGAAGTGGTAAACGTCTGAGACCTGCATCTTTTTCGGGCTTTCCTCCAACATTAAGCTGACAGGCTGTGATATAACTGGAATACTGTTAAAGGCAGCGTTGAACCCAACTCACTCACTCACTCATCGAATATCTCGCAAC